ACCGCCATTCCTCTGGCAGCTGGGGCGAAACGAAGGTCGGCTGCGCCGGACGCACCGGGCTGTAAATCTTGGGCGGTTTACAGGCCTCGGTGGCAGCGGTGGGGGGAGCGGTAAGCCTACATGCTCCGCCGCCAGAGTCATCACCGCCGGGAAATCGATCCGCGCAGACCTGAGAGTTGGACCTCCGGTCAGCGAGGCGTCCTCCTCGTCCCCCATCGGAAGAACCGGGACAACGTCACCTCGCTCCCCGAATCGCCTACGTCCACGACGTCGAGCTCCAGATCCACCGACTCCTCCTGCGGGGTAGCCCTCGCCAGGAAGTGCTGCCCACGATGCTCTCGTGTGAGCCGCGGGATCATCTGGCAGTCTGGGCATGTCAGCGTCGGGCCCATATTACCCACCGCATGGTCAGGCCCCAAGGACGTGAAGCAGAAGGGTAATTAGATTCGGGCATTTCGGGCAGGTCCCTACACTTTACTCTCTCTTTCTCAATCGTCTCGAAGCTCGTGGAATCACTTCCGCTGCTGAAGAGAAAAAGGATGATAGTCAGGAGGCGAGGCCTCCTTTTATACGGTGTGATGCGCGCGCATTCAGGTAGGCCCGCCCTGGGCCGGCTACGTCTATAGAAGTCTCAGTGGGAGAATGCACGCGGGATAAGGTAGTACCCATAGAGTCCAGTAGAGGGCGGAGCCTGTGAGACATAACTGCACTTTACAAGCCAGAAATAATGTTTAAATGGTCGGGGAAAGTATTTTTAAATGTCTGGAAGAGAGTTTTAGCCAGTCATTTTGCACGATATCATTTAACATTGACGCTCTCCTGAAAATGCACAGAATATGTGCATTTTCAGGAGAGCGTCAATGTTAAATGATATCGTGCAAAATGACTGGCTAAAACCCAGGAATAAGTGTTTGAAAGGCGGGGAAAAATTGTTTAAAATAGTCTGATACCTCCAGGGCGCATAACATGGGTAAAAAGTGTGTTAAAAGGTTGTGGAACATGTTTCAAATGACAGCAGACTGGTGGTTGTTAGCAGGCTGACTCAGTTCACTTGTCTCACACACACCCAGGGGGGAAAAGATAACAGATTTAGCCAGGAATAAGTTTCTGAATCATGGGCACATTAGTGTTTAAAGTCGGGGGAACTGTTTTAATGCAGGACCAGGGTGAAGAGATGACACATTGACCCAGGAATGAGTGCTCAAAACGTGGGTAAAAGGGTGTTAAAAAGTGTGTTAAAAAGTGTTAAAAACACCAAAACTTTACAAGCCAGGGAAGGTCCCTGAATCCTGGGTATACATTGTCTAAATAGTCTGATACATCCAGGGTGCATCACCGCACTTTACAAGCCAGGGAAGGTGCCTGAATCCTGGGTAAACATTGTTTAATTGTTTAAGTGTTTTTAAATGTATGGAACAGTGTTATGTCTCTTTCAAAACTCTCCCGTCATTGGCCGGATACATGGGGATGATTTTATATTCACTATGACCGTTAATATTCCAGTGAGACGAAGCCGCAGCATTTGCCATCACACAACAGTCGGCCGTTCACGGAAACAACCGATTATGAACGAGAAATGATATCATGAAAGTTACGGTGCTTATTAAGCATTTTAAAACGTATGTGGTAAGTTGCCAAAGTGCTTTGTTTTGAACATTCATCAGTATTATAATCAAAAAGAAAAATATGAACGTTAGTTTTTACTGATATGATCAAATAAAGTCAACATTTCACAGTCTTTACTGAGCTGTGTGGGGTTTGTTCAACTTTTAAAAGATGTTTGAATGGTGATATACACAGTGATAGATGTTAAGGACTAACGTTTATAATAAATACATTTGTATTGATTTTAAGATCTTTTCATACAATCATACGTATTGGGATCATTTGTATTAATGTGGACCGGAGGGAGAGGGTGACAAGCATAAGTTTCACTTTCCTTTTTGATTTCAATTCCAACTTTGGTCATGAAGAATATGTTTCTCTGTTGTCCCCGTTCATAAAGCATAAAACAACAGCATCAGAGCATGGTGCAGAGTCTCTAGATGAGTTTACAGTAGTCCCTCGTTCTTATTAAACATCCATGTTGTAGTCCGCTGTATAGAAAACTGTAGTTTCCATAGTTTCCCCACAGCAGCAGACGCACATTTATGACCTCCGCTGGCGCATCATAAACACGTCGGATAGTGAAAGTGCAGTCGGATTCTCTAAAGTACCGCAGTCTCTTCTCCTAAATCCTTTTGAATTCTCCTATCCACTATCCCTTAACCCCATGACGTTTCACTCAGAGGTCAAGGAATAGACGATAGGGTTAGAATTTAGGAGCTGATTTTTGGACTATTCGACCGCAACCCGGGTCTAAGGATGAAGGGATGTAAGGATGAAGGGAACTAAGGATGAAGGGATGAAGGGATGAAGGGATGTAAGGTAGGGCTGCTCAATTAATCGTATTTTAATCGCAATTACGATTTTGGCTTGCAACGATTATGAAAGCAACATAATCGAAATAAAACGATTACTTATTTTTATTTTTCATTATTATTTATTTAAAGAAAATATATATATATTATTTTTTTTATTGGTTTTTCAATTGAATTATACTTAAAGTTCAGGGTAATCAACTGTTAAAAACATACTACACCTTTTTTTTTTTCAATAAATTGATGTTTTCAAAGTAAATGGATAATCGTTTTTTTAATAATCGTGATATCAATTATTGACCCAAATAATCGAGATTATGATTTTTGCCATAATCGAGCAGCCCTAATGTAAGGTTGAAGGGATGAAGGAAAGAAGGGATGTGGGTATTGATGAGGTAGGAAGGGGAATGGATGAATGAATAGGAAAGGGAGGGTGGGTTGTGGGATTAGGTGAAGAGCTGCTCCTGAACATAAGTGTACCAATAACATAAATGCATACATAAAGTAAATGTTTATTACTCAGTTCATGGTTTAAGTTTGTTGAGGACTAGACTATATTGAGACAAATTCATCATTTCTTAAGAGGTGTGAGAGAGTTGTTCCACAATGTTGGCCTGTGTGTACGGACCCCACTGAAGCAGTTTGTTGCCCCCCCATCACGTCCATTCATCAAATATGTTTTTTATGTGAATCTGAAAGTGACTAGTACTTACAGCTGTCTGATAATGGACTGCAGTTAAGTATGAAATAGTTTCTTCTAAAATGTTATAAAGTATGACTATAAAGTAAAATATTTCTAAACTGAACTTCAGTACTTAAGTAAATAGAGTAAAAGTTACTTTGCAGCGAGAAGTTAAAGGTCAGACAACATTTGAGGCATAACAACATTTATTTATTGTTAATTAATGATTTCTCCATCAGTCAGTAAATGTTAATCAATACACATCAGTATCAGGTATAATGTTTTTAAAACTCAAAGAACATTAAACTAATAGTAAATACAAATGTTAAAATAAGCAGGAAGCTGATAATCCTGTTAAAACAACAACAGAGTAAACCGATTACAATGGAAATAAATTCAAACTTTATGTGAAAAATACAAGATTTAAAAGTTTTACTTTTTCCTTTCAGCTGTTGATACATCTCCTTATTCTCATATCTGTTGTTCTGATTAAAATAAACTTTACATTAGTCTGAGTTATTGTTTAACGTTTAGAAACGTCTCCATCATCCAGCAGGAGCACCGTATCATTTCAGGACACTCAACAATACAATCCATCATTAACAAAAGTCACGTTAAATTACAAATCTCAAAGAAAATAAAAGGAAGAGCAGAAAAAAACATTTAGCAATAATCTGATATTTGTAAATGATCATAATAGAAAACAAACACTTTTAATAAACTTGCAGGTTTAAACTTTTACATTGGTGGTAATGGTGTAAGGACGTTAATGATTTCTGCTCAAAACAATCAAACTTTAACATTTCATACACATGGTACATGTTACTTTCTGTCAAACAGAACATGCAGATTACTCCTGCAGGAAGATGTTTGTGCAGGAGAAAAATAAAGCATTATAATTCATTGATTAACACTAGAGCTCTAAGTGCGGGTCTATTTGGACTTCATGTTTTGTGCCAGTGACGGAATAAGTATTCAGATACTTTACTTTGGTTATAGTTATAATACCACATTGTATAGATACTGTTACAAGTAAAGGTCCTGCATTCAAAATGTCACATATGTAAAAGTATAATCAAAATGAAGCTATAGTAATAAATGTAAAGGTACCCGATGCAGAAGAGTATCACTGTAAAATGTTTGGCTGTAAAATGACAGTAAATTACTGGCTACTAGTTGCATGGATTTCACAGTAATTTACTGTAAATATTTCACAGTAATTTACTGTAGATATTTTACAGTAAATTAGAATAAAAGTACAACTAAATACTGTGACTTTACAGTTGCCATGCCCATGGAATTACTGTGATATAGCAGTACAGAGCTGTGGGATTATGGTACCTTGCTGTACATAAATTACAGTAATTACCTGTATTTTCACACTATTACTGTAGAAGTAATGCAACACAGTAGCCAGTAATTTACTGTAAATATACAAATGTAAATAATACGATAATATATTGTAAATTTGACTAGTTAACTGGGATTTTACCATAACTACACAATTAAATCAGCTCAATCAACAAAGAAAAACAAAGAAAATGCCCTTTTTAACTTTTTAACTCCATTGAAGTGCAAAGTACATTTCACAGTGTCTTGGACATGTTGTTACGGCCCAAACCTCTACTCCGCGGTAGTGGCTCGTGCTGAGACCCACAACATGAAAGAATACACGCAATAACCGGTACTTGGTGACGAGCATTTATTGATAATCAGCCGTTTGCTCACACAAGCAAAACGGGAAACAAAAGGAGGTCTGGAGGACTGGCCAAAAGGAACAAACAGATAGAGGGAACCCGAGCCAGCCACACCAGGGGCCGTAGGACCCAGAGCTCCCCCCCCCCCCCTAACCAGAAATCAAATATAAACCCTATGGGAAACAAAATAAAGCCGCGAAAACTGGACTACCAGGTCCTCCCGGCTAAACATAAACACATCTGCAAAAATATGGCCTACAGCTCAAAATGGCAAAGAGGTATTCTAAGGAGAGTGTCTCCTGGCGTTAGGATAGGCCAAGACATCCTTCTCCTCCAGCTTCTCTTTATATATACACGGCTGAGTGGAATTTGGAACACCTGGGCAGAGGCGGAGCCAGGGGCAGACCAGGTGCACCTGGGCAGCAGGGAGACAGAAAAGAAAACAAGGAGGGGAGCACTTGTCTACACAGACATCCACTCGAAGTCAACAATTTTTCTGAAGAATGTGCTGACATGGGGGTTTAAATTGCCATGACTCTTTTTGGCTTTCGAGCCCAGGATTAATGCCCAGGACAGGATGTTGAGTTGTATTGTAGTTTTTCTTTTATTTCCAATTCTGTTATTAATTATTTGTATTGTAATGTCTTAAATCTTTAATTCAGTTTTTAGAACCCCCTGTTAAGAGAGGATCCAGAGGAGAGTTGCTGTTTTATCATGATTGGAAACAATCTCAAAATGGTAACATATTGAACTACTTGATGTCAATAAAACGGGTTTGTATGTTGCATTCCTGAAAGAGTGTTGAAAGAAAATCTTTATTCACGTTTCAAAGTAACTTGCTAAAAGGGATTTTTGAATGATTTCTTAGATCATCTCTTAGTTAAAATATATTCATCCTCTGAACCTCAGTTAACAGAACACCTATAAAATACCAATATTTTGTATATACACGTCTCTTCTTTTAAATCATGTTCAGCTCTTGTCTTGGTCCTAGTTGGAGCTGGTCTTGATGTTGCCCTCAGTTAAAGATTCTTAACTTTCAAGCAGGTTTCCTCCTCTGCCTACTCTGCCATGAGCTCTGCTTGTCCTCTCATCTCCATCAGGTACTCAACTCGTTGCTTCCTGCCTGACTTGCCCTCAGCTTTCTCTCCCTCAATAAGGAGGTCAATGTACTCTGGAGTGGAGAGAGGATTTGGCTTCAGTGCGATCTCTCCTAGTCTGTTTAGACACTTGGCTGAGCTCTTCATTATCTCCATCACTTCAGCCTGATGACGCTGATATTCAACCTTCAGCTCGTCGATCACTTCCTGAACAGTTACCTTAGCCTCTGAGGCTTCCAGGTACTTTTGTTTCAGATCATCCAATGTTAGCATTTCTTTAACCTTCTTATACTCCCATCTGTACTTCTGGCTAAAATGTTTACTCCAATGACATTTGCCTTTACACTGAGTACAGTTTCCATCTGGTCCCATTGCAGAGCACTTTATTTTATCTGCATCGTTGGCATTTGGACATGACCCGTGACAGGTGACATTACACACCTTACAGTTGGTGATGAAGTCTCCAGTGCCAGAAATATCTTCTTGAAAAGGCTTTATGACGACTACTTCAATCTCAAATTTCTCATTTCTGCTGATCTCTGCTTCATGCAGTTTAAGTTTTTCAGTTGTCTCTTTAATCTCCTCAAGCTTGGCCAACCCTACTTTAACCTGCTTTTGCACATTTTCAACTGAGATCTGGAGCTGATTTCTTTCTCCGAGGACTTCCTTTGTCATTGTTAAGCTTTTGGTTGTCATCCTATCTAAAGCAACAAAGAACTTCTTCATGCTTTTTGCCCCCATTTCCCAGAACATCTTGTCAAAGCCTTCATATTCCTCATCCCCGCTCGAGTCAGCAGCAGCAGCAGCAGATGATTGGTTCTGTGCAAACAATGCAGAATTATTGAATTTGAAGTAAACTGGCAGCCCGTCTTCTGTTTTAGGACAAGGGACGCCTGAAGCATTGATCGCCTCTAGAACTGGTGGGCGTTGGCCGTCTGTGAATGTCACCAGAACCTGGATGTTTTCTTCCACATCTTTGCCAAAGATTGAGAGCACAGAATCAAACACATACTTATGTGTTGGTGTGAGCTGAGCTGAAGAAGCTCGAACTACAAAACACACAGCGTCAATTTCACTGACGCCATGCTCGGCAGAGAAGAGATTACGAATCTGTTCTGTCATCTCCTTGTCTCTATGTATGCCTCTTGTATCTCCAAAGCCTGGGGTATCAACAATAGTTAGAGAGCAGGGGATTTCAAAGCCCTCTTGGTGGTTAATTTCGTACACAGTGACTTCAGAGGTCTGGCTTTCAGCTTGCGATCTCGACTGATCCTCGTCAACTAACTTAAACCGATATGGATCATCCCATTCAACACCTAGAATGTAGTTGATCATCCCATTGATGAGAGTTGACTTCCCAGCCCCAGTTGCTCCGAGAACCATTATGGTGCGATTAGTTTTACCAGTTTGGGACTCTTTCCCAAAACTGAATTTCTTGCACCCTTTTTCATCGATTTTTTGTTCTTTCTGTGGAATTATGTAAACAGAAGGCCCTGTCTCGGATTTTATCAATTTGCTTTTGTCTTTAAGTGAAAGAGCAAGCTGTTTGGACAACAATCCAGACATTATTTAGTTTTTGAAGTAATGAATTTAAAATCAGCTAATACCTGGACCAGGCCTCCAAAGAGATACTAGTCAATTCTAATCAGAAAAACTTTTATAGACTTGTGGTCTGTGCAATAAAAGTGTGTCTTCTGCTCTTCAAGTGAATGGAGTGCTCTCAGATCCACATCTGTAAAAGACGACGTGTACAAAATGAAAATGTGTAGGATGTAGCACTCAGCTGAAGCACTATTATGTGTTCCCTTTTGCTACTTGTGCATCATGAAAACAAGTACAGGAAAAGGTTGCTATGACTAATATGACATTTATGTAGGGCACTAATATGATGTCAAGAAGCAAAAACTATTTGAATAAGGTACATTTTTCTAATCTAAATATTTGAACAGTTTCTCTTGATTAAAAATGCAATAGTAACAGTAGTTAGAGCTCATCCCAAATAATTGTCTTTTAAATCTGTCTTTACAAAAATGGCAAACCAATCTATGTATCAAGCATAATATAATATACAGTATATAGCCACATAATATGGTCCAACAGTTACGGTGTTCTGTAGGATAAAGGTTGTGTGTGGACAGTTTTATAGAAGGACTCAAATTAATCTCAAACTTTAATAAATGCTTACCATTTTAATATTACTTGAATTATTTGGCCAATCATGATAAGGTCATTATTTTCATGGGAAGTTGTGAAAATATTTGTTTGAATCCCCTTAAATACAGAGAACCTGTTACTGACAATGAATTCCAACAAACCTCTGTTGGCTGTTGGCCGTTCTCAGTCCCGTCACTCAGTTAAACCCAGCTTCTGATAATTCCACATGCTGCTTTGGACTCCAAATTCCTAAAATAAAGCATATACAAAGTTGTACTTCTATGTATTTCTATTTTAAAGTTTAACAGTCAGTCATCAGTCACATTTAGTCATCCATTCTCCTGTGGCTGTGTTTTTCACATGGCAATAGATTGTAATAACTAAGTATTTATTTAATATGATTAGTTAATTCAAAACAGTTTTTTATTATATTATTTGTAAATCCTAGTCTGCACATCACACTACATTTACTAAATAAAATACTTTCGCAAAACCCCACCCTACGTATTGCATTGAGTTTAATGCAATGAAAATGACATATTGTAAGTCTTCCACCTCCGCTGTCCACTATGTGGTGCTAGATAATACACTTCTAACAAAGAGCATCTCTATATTGTGTAGAACACAAATTGAAATGTTCAAGTAAATCAGATGATGCTGCAGATTATGCTGACTTCGTGTTGCCAGTCAGTGGCACTATGACTATGACCTGATTTCGACCTTTAAAAGTCATCAGGCTGTGACTCTCATCAAACACAAGAAATTAGGGGCAATTTGAAGTTAAAACAACTTTTTGTTACATGGTAAGTGTCTCAAAATAACGGTGATGCCCCGACAAGGGCGCTCCATGTTGCAGAAAGATTTGTTATCGTATGTGCAAATATCATGCATGTAGGTTAAAGGTACAGTGACGGCTGCTTCCCCTTGGCAAGCTTCGCAGTCTGCCAAGGGGAATATCTTAACATTGCGCTGACCAAATATGAAGGTGATCTAGTTTACCTGCCAAGAGCTGTAAGCCACAGTCTAGCAACAGTAACTTCCTGCTGTGGCAGTATGATTAAAAATTGCTGTATAGATGTCTCCAGGGCGGGACCGATTCTAAAAGTTTGACCATGTAGAGGTGTTCTACGCTAACGCACAAATGTAACTATAAAGCTTTTCCCATGATGCTATTAACCTGTTAAGCCCGAGAGACCCCGGTACCGGGGTACTGCTGCAACATCTTGCAGGAAACAGTGTCTGAGCCTGTTTTTCAGGTCTCAGGCTCGAAAATGACTTTCCCAGAACAAATGACCATATCTTCCCTTCTAAATGGGTTAAATTAATAATCTTTATTCTCAAAGTAATGATAAACCTGTGAGTTGGATGTAGAAAAGTCAGAATCAATATAGATGTTTTTTATTTTAAAGAAAATTCAGATTTTACATAGTAAAAAACTGTAAATTATAGTGTCCCTCCAAAAATTATTTTTTACTTATAGTGAAAACTACCCTTGGATGATGGGTTAGTAGACTAAAAGCTTTAGAAATCCAAAGTACAACATATATTAAGTACCCTGTATCAAGATTGATGCAAAACAAGTGAAATTTGACCTTTTTAGAGAGATTTAGCTAAAAAAAAAAAAAAACACTTCTGGGGTCATTTGGGTGGATTTGACCTATCTCTGGCCCCCCTTGGTCGATTTTGATGAATGACATCTCTTTATAACCGCTAGAGCCAATGGAATCGAGGGAAAGTTATATACACACCAAAACGTTAACAAATAAGGAGTGAGAGTGACGCGTGGCCAAAACCGGAAGCTGCTACCATTAGCAGCTAACTTTTCCTCTCCGATTTTTACATAAAAATGGAATTATGGATTATAAATATTTTTTTCAAAGGCACAGGTACATTATCAACCTATGGATCAACAGTTGTAGCATTTTTTTTTTTCGTTTTAATGCCATTGAACACGTCTTTTGACCTAATTGACAGCTACGGTGAGACGCTGCTGAAGGTTAATCCATAATCCAATGTCTCTGTGTCACTTTGAAATAATTACTGATAATCCATCATCATATTTATGGCAATAAACCTAGTTTTCATATAAAGTGTAACATAGCTTTCGGTTTGGGCAAACTGCGTGCGCATCACTCTCAATCCTCAATGGTAATGTTTAGATGGATTTAGGAACGTCCCCTCGATTCTATTGGCTCTAACATTTCAAAAGTGACCAATGGGTTCCAGAGATATGGCAATCTACCCAAATGACCCCAGAGGTGGTTTTTTTTTCTAAACCTCTCTAAAAAGGTAAACTTTCACTTGTTTTGCATCAATCAAATACAGGGTACTTATTATATGTTATAGTTTGGATTCCTAAAGCTTTTAGTCTACTATCCCATCATTCAAGGGTGGATTTCACTTTAAGCAATGTTTTTTCTTTGGACAGACACTATAATTTACATTTATTTTACTATGTTCAATCTGAATTTACTTTAAAATAAAAACATCTATATTGATAGAACAGGTTAAGGACACTATGGCCCTTTAAAAAGCAATTTCTTATTCTAATAATAATTTAAAGGATTTCAATAATCCTATGCTCCTACTTTGTTGGTGCCCGAGCCCTAAACAATGTTAAAACTAAAACTTAATCATGCCATTTTGTTTTTACAAAAATTCACTGTCACCTTATCAATGGAATTTAAAAAGTGTGAAAGAGTTTTTTAAGCAGCAACTTACCACTCAGGTCTTCTCTGATCGTCATGACAGGGCGAGTTCTGTAGCTGCTACTTATACACCACACACACATGCGCGCGCACACACACACACACACATACACACACACACACACACACACACACACACACACACACACACACACACACACACACACACACACACACACACACACACACACACACACATTCCACACCATGAACATGAAAGTTACTCTGCTGATTTTTTTTGCACTCATCTCGATAAGATATTATCAAAAGATTATTTTACATATATATGTTTAATCAATAATATCTACCAGCAGATGAAGTTCTTTAAACTAAAAACATTTTCAGTTCAAATTCTTCCTAGTTTGAAAGTTCATGTGTTGCAAGCTTGTACCAATGTCCAAAGTTGTCTGAAGCCATTAAATTACGTAAAATAAACACTAAATTAATGATGGCCAACTTCTTGTCTGTTTAAGACAAGAGCCCCAAGAGAATTTTTTTTAAGTCTACTTTTTATACACGTTCCGTGCAAATATCGTGCACGTAGGTCAAACGTACAGTTACGGCTGCTTCTTTAAAGTTATGTAGGGGCCCCCGCCAAAACTAAAATGATCATATCAGTAAACTTATTTATCCCTGTTAATGCGTTTGCCAAGCATTCTTAAGCCTTTAAAGAAGTTTGTCCTGTTCGTGGCGAACACAGCGTTCCACAAAAGCGCACAAGGTTCGCAATTTAAAAAATGTGAGTGAAACTCAGGGCTCAGATGGCAGGTTGGCTGGAGTACAAGAAAAACAGCTGCCAAGCCATTTTTGCTACGCCCAATGTGCCTGAACGCTATTTCCTGTTAAAGGCAAACAAAGCGTTCCACAAAAGAGCACAAGCTTTGCAGTCTGCCAAGGTGTATATCTTAACATTGAGTTAACCAAATATGAAGGATATCTGGTTTATCTGCCAAGAGCTGTAAACTAAAGTCTAGCAACATTAACTTCCTGCCAGGCTTCTAATCAAGCATGACATCTGTGGCATTTTTGAGACTGTACACTCAAGTAACAACGACTTTGTGTGACATGGCGAGTGTCTCTGGCTGCAAGAGTACGGCAAGTAAGTATGTGTTGTGAAAATACAGTATCTTTCATCTAGGTATAATGTACAGTGAGGGCTTCTTTATTATAAATTAGTTTTAGCATGTGTGTAAATCCCTAAGCCCTAAAACATAACTTCCTGTTTCATGGCCAATCATGCGTTGCTGGATGAACACCGTTCCACGAACGCTCGGAAGCTTTGCAGGGTGGCAAGGTGAAGGCGTTCACATTTAGCTGACCAAATATGAAGGTGATCTGTGTAACCTGCTGAGAGCTGTAAGTAAAAGTATAGCAGGAGTAGCTTCATGTGGCCACTACATGGGGCTAAGACTATGATTCAAAATCAGCCGGTTGATGTCTTCAGGGCGGGACCCTTGCCAAAAGTATGAAGTTTATTATTTAATTTTACTTCCCGTTTCCCCTAGAATTCTGGTGAACATAATTATAACAATAATTTGAAAAAATATTAAAGCTGCACGCAGAGTTGAATGGGCCCTAGCCTCCCATGCTATTCGGCCGGCTGGCCAGTCTAAACTTCATTTGTCCATATGACACCAAGATGCTTTTTCTGTGCGTTTGACCATGCTACCTATGCCTACCAAATGTCATTGCTTTCAATTACCATTTTTTAAAACATTTCAGGAGTTGGGAAAATTAATGGGTATTCATAAATAATTCAATTAAAAAAAAAACTCTGGGATCAAATTAAAAAAATGCTTTAAAAATCTAAAAATCTAAAAAAATGTGAGTGAAACTCAGGGCTCACATGATAGGTTGGAAGCAGTACGGGAAAAAAAGGCTTTGAAAAACTAAATTAAAATAATGCACTTCTTCAGTCAGTCAATGCCTCTGTATCAGGTACAGCAAATGTACTGTTCCTATGTTCACCTAAAGCCAATTCAGACACCATGTCACAATTCTGTCTGATAAATGCTTAAGACCTGGAAGACATTATCCAACATCTGAAATCCTCCTCCTGCTGCCTCGACATCATCCCGACAGGATTTTTCAAAACTGTTTTTCATTGCTTGGCCTCAGATATACTACACATAGTAAACAAGTCTCTTCAATCAGGTGTATTTCTACAGGCCCTGAAAACTGCAATAATTAAACCGCTCCTAAAAAAGCATAACCTAGACGAAACCATAATGAATAATTACAGGCCAATATCAAACCTTCCCTTTTTAAGCAAATTGATTCAAAAAGCAGTTTTTCAACAGTTGAGTAATTTCATGTTTTTAACTGACAGTTTTGATGTGTTTCAGTCGGGCTTTCGACCTAACCACAGCACTGAGACTTCACTTGTTAAGGTCTTAAATGACATCCATTTGAACACAGTCAGTATTAGTATTATTAGATATCAGCGCTGCCTTTGATACTGTTGACCACAACATATTGCTAGACCGTCTTGAAAACTGGGTGGGAGTTTCAGCAACAGCTCTAAACTGGTTTAGCTCCTACTTGAAGGACAGAACAAACTTTGTCTCAATAGGCAATTACAAATCAACCCTGATAAATATGTCATGCGGGGTTCCTCAAGGCTCCATCTTAGGACCTTTGCTTTTTAATATTTATATGCTACCTCTGGCTGAAATTATTAAAAAGAGCGATCTAAGCTATCAGACGACACCCAGATTTATTTTAAAATTACACCGGGAGACTACTCTCCGATTAGAACACTGAGCAAGTGCATTGAGCACATCACTGACTGGATGACTCAGAACTTTCTCCAATTGAACAAACAAAAAACAGATCATTGTTTTTGGAGCAAAGAAGGACCGATTCAAATTAATCACAGAGCTTCAGTCGGCAGACTATAAAGTAACTCAAATGATCATAACAGTAAACCAAGTTTATCCCTGTTAATGCATACGCCAAGCATTCTTAAGCCTTTAAATAAGTATTTCCTGTTAGTAGAGAACACAGTGTTCCACAGAAGCACACAAGCTTTGCTATTTAAAAAATGTGAGTGAAACTCAGGGCTCACATGGCAGGTTGGCTGGAGTACAAGAAAAACAAAAGGCCTGGAAAACCGAAAGGGTAAAGATTCACTTGTTCAGGTCACGAGAACCCAAGGTTGTCACACACACCCAAGGTTCTTTTACATATGTTTTATCAATAATGTCTACCAGCAGATGAAGTTCTGCAAAATCACAACATTTTAAGTTCAAATTTGGCCTTGTTTCAGAGTTTTGCATAACAAAAAAGGTTAAGCCTCACTTTAATATAGCACAAGATCATATTTTGAGCAGAAATGTTGTCTTATGTTGCAAGCTGGTAGACTAATGTCCAAAATTGTCTGAAGCCACTTAAGATTGATTTCAAATCCTAAAAATGGCACAAAAACACACAAAAGAAACACACTAAATTAAAAATGGCCAACTTCTTGTGGGTTTTAAGACAAGAGCCCCAAGATCCCCAAGAGACCCTGTGCTCTATGTAACAGAAAGCTTTTGATATATTTGGAACTTAAAATGTTACTGACCAAATTGTAATTTGACCAAATTAAATCTTTGGGAGGAGCTCATTCAAACACGATGTGAAAAGTGTGAACATTTCCAAAAAACAACATAAAAGTGTATGAAATAAAAATTGCAGACTTCCTGTTTGGTTTACGGTATCGCTCCAAGATACTTTTTTTGTTGTATCAATGTGATACCAAATGTCATAGTTCTGGGTCATTCGCAAATAAAGGTGCCGTGTTCTAGGTGGCGCTATTGAGACATTTTGCCACGCCCATGTGCATAAACGATATTTCACATATTGGTATTTCCTGTTAATGGCCAACACATCGTCCCACAAAAGCGCACAAGTGATCTGGTTTACCTGCCGAGAGCTGCAATCCAAAGTCTAACAACAATAACTTCCTGCCAGGATTCTAATCAAGGTGGCCATGTTTTTTGGTTGACCAATCATATTTAGGGCCTGAGCACGAAGTGTGCGAAGACCTATTGTTCTGCATAGAATTTTTAGGGCCTGAGCACGAAGTGTGTGAAGACCTATTGTTATTCGTAGAATTCTTATTATTATTCCCGCTCCGGTTCAAACCTGTTTTTGAGGGCTTTGCATTCATGCAGCGAAATTTGCACGGACCACAGGACCGGCGAAACATTTTACATTCTGGAGTCGATGGATTAAAAATGTCCAACATGCTCGCTAGCGCCACCTATATGTAAAACATTTTTGAAAAATGTACATAGTCGCACCGTAACTCGGATGGACCTGAAATTGTGCACACTTATCCGGGTGGACCTTTTTTTAAATTTTTTTTTATATATATATCTGTTGTAATTTATTGTCGTTTATTGTGATTGTAGTAATGTGTTTTTATTACATGTACAGCACTTTGGCTCGACCAAAAATCGCTTTTAAATGTGCTATATAAATAAAACCTGATTTGATTTGATTTGGACCTGCTCTACATAAAGTCCTCTTGAACCCCTAAGCTCCGCCTACTTTTTTCTTTTTTAAATTAGCATAATGTTAAAAACAGTGAAATATGATCCTATATTTCAATTTTGTGTTTATCAAAACCAATCTTAGTATACAGCATCGGTGGAGGGTCACACACATTACAGTAGGAAATGAGCATGTTCAGTTAATAAATACGGCCGCCATTAATCAAAACGTATTAGCAAAAAGGTGTGGCTTAGAAAGAAATGCTCATAACTCATCAACAATGTATCCAAACAACACACATTTTGGTGTATAGGTTCAGTCTGTATTGGGGAATAGGCACACAAAGGTATTTTCATTTTGGACTATAGGGGGCGCCAAAAACACGACAAATGTATAACTCAAGAAAGGATGGACGAAATAATTTTTTATAGACATACTCTAGGGATGAGTATGAACTTATATTTAAAGTGTCGCAACGAATGACGAATGTGGGCGTGGCCTGCGTTTTTTCATGCATTTTATGCACATTTTTGCTATTTCCTCACAGGAAA